TCACTTTACAAGTGTTGGCTTCTGTAGTGATCTAGCTGCGTAAAAACCAAGATCGTTGCACATTCAATGATGTTAATAGCAAGGTCGCCACCGGTAAAAGTAAACGGGATCTCTAAACTAGCACGTCTTTCGTAGAGCAAAGCCCACAGTTGGCTGGCAGGTGCCTTCTGCGTGAAAGGCGGGCAGGTCTGTGACCGCAGTGTTGCGCTACTTTCGCGACCCCAAAATAAGTGAGCCGGAGTCAGTACCCTTATCCTCCCAGACAAATATGGCACCACTTACCGCCTCCGGGTAGAAGGCTTGCTTGGCTTGAGCGGGTGCCAGGATTTGATCCCCGGACCGCACGCGGGTAAGCTCGCACTTTGCCATTACATTACCTGTGCCTACTTTGGTTATTAGGTGTTTCAAATGCAATTGGACGATAGGAACATGCTCAAAGGTTTTTGAAGCTGCTGCTATGTTCAGAAAGTGCATGGACGCGTTCTTGCAACGGGCCCAAAGTGCTAAGGGATTCTGTGATACTTGAATTTCCTACCACTAACCGAGGTGGATACTCACCAACAATCCTCTACTGGGTTTAATTCTAGTTGTTCTTATTTCTTATTTGCCTCTGAACCCAATTCCTTCCCTACTCTTTACCCGGGTTCTCTTTCGTGGATTCTGTGACCAAGAGGACCCCAGCTTTTTATAGATCCTACATTTTACTGCCATGCTCAGTGTAAGCTATCATTAAAAAATCAGCTACTGCTTTCAGGAATGCGACGAAAAGTTGAAAATTGGTGACCCTCTACTGGACGATACAAGAGGTTGGCGCCAACATTAATGAAGCTCACCTGAATAAGATTCTTGGATTTGTTGAAAGTGCCAAGAAAGATGTACGGTGATGTCAACCGATCTTGTCCTTCCACACTCGCAAGAGCTTTCAGAAGCAGAAAGCGATTTGCTGAGAAATCTTGATTAATTTTGTTAAACTGTGATTCACTTGAATTTTCTTTTGTGTCTTTATGAAAGTTGTGGCTACATACAAGGAGCCCAGCTTTTTTAATTCCGAGATAGATTCGAAATTTTGCATTTAGGGTGGAAAAGTCCTCCGTGGAGGTAATCGCGTTCATCCTAAAGGCCTTGAAAATGGCTTCTACTTCGATCCCGCCGTTGTTGATTACGGTTTGAACTGTCTTCTTTTTTATTCGTGCCATTTAGATAGTTATGAATCTTTTCGAAAATTCTAGGACGACGCCCACGCAGTTCGAGAAGAAATTTTCGGAGCTTGCTGTCTCATACTACCGTTTGATACTGAAGAGGAAGTGGTAAGGCGAGCAAATGACACAATGTACGGACTGGCTGCTGGAGTTTTCTCAGGGTCAGTTGCTCCTTCAACCTAATTACGTTGAGAAATTTCCATAAAACTCATCTCTAGTCTGACAGTTTCCTATAAAATCGCCATAATTGTCATCAGTTTTATCCTTTTTAGGAATTTGGCTCGCTGTCATCGACTCGCCGCAAAATTACATGCCGGAACTGTATTCATCAACACATACAATGATACAGAGGTGGGCGAACCATATCATTGCCTATCGAGGCTGTCTGCAATAGTTCTGCCTTGATCGTTATCCGAAGAGTCAGCCGGGGTGTAGGTTTTTACGCAACGCCAACATGTTTTCCACCAGTCGTTGCGGTCCCGGGCGTTGAATAAATAATGGGAAAGCGCTAGGAAACTCCCGAAACTCACGTCCGAGAAATGTCTGAGTTTCATTGGGATCGTCATAGTCAATCGTTCCCTTCTTCAAGGCCCATACAAAACAATTTGTGAAAGTAAAATTTCGTGAATGTACTTTGTCCATTGCCCCTCCTTGGATTGAGACTGTCTATCGAGATGGACCAAAAGGAGAGGCGCGGGAACGGGAGAGGTGCAATGTTCCAACTTACCCTGCCCATACGATCAACATTAAAGCATGTCGTGTGTTGGGTCTCCAGCGAGTGTGGTCGTACTTGGCTTTACTTGGAGGGACAGGATAGGGCCGTACTTGCTGTCTCTTCTTCTCTCTTTCTACCCGCCTGACGGCAGATAGAAATCTGAGGAAGAACCTTGTTCAAAAATGGTAGGATGACGGGAAAATTCAGGAAGAAGGGAGGTATGATAGGGAAGGGGACTTCCAACCAGAGGAGGACCTTTCATGGGAGACTCGTAGTTCGCCAGCAGGACGTGTTTTGATTAATATAGAGTAAAGGACGCAAGAATCCTGGAAGACATACTGTATACACACCTCCGAATGGTCTGCCGTGCGCAAAGCGACTGGGTCCGCAGCTGCAGCAGTGTGCCATCTTCTGCGCTCAAAGATGCTCGGGAACGAGAATGTAGGGAAGTTGTACCCGGGTTCGTCTCCATACTCCGCGCGCGCTATCCTCAAGATGCGGCACTTATGCAGATACGATGGCCCTGCAGCGACACGCACTCAGTGGTAGAGAACAATCAGAAGTTAAAGAGAGCATTGGAGCGCTCGGCTATGGATAGGCGTCTGGCTGGCCGTGCGGCACCGTGAGGCGAAGCATGGAGTCGGCGCTGGAATATCACTACCCTTCAGCTTTCTTCCCGTGCACATTGACTGGAGAAAGTACGCTAGTGCAGCTGCGAACCCCACACACGGTAAGGATTAGGATTCACGGAGGTAAGCGTACAGGCTGTCTTTGAAGGAGCCAGCGCACACAGTCTCTTCAAAAGTGTGCTGTTCGAAAGTGCAAGAGTATGTGCTGATCACTCAACAACCTCAACATGTTGTTTTATGTTATGGAACAGCCACTCTCCTTGCTTAGGCTGCGTTCACATACTTTTGCGGAGTGATCACCCGTGCCGATCATCAGTATTTGAGCGTCTCGTCATACTGTCAAGCGATCTGCGACAGTATGATATCATACTAGCGTCCAGCAGCTGTACCCAGCCACCAGGAGCTGGAGAGGTACTACAGGAAGTAGGGAGGCAGCAGACTGGATCTAGGCTCGCGTGGATGCGGCTTGGCAAACCGCTACCATACTAACTAACTACTACCGTAACTCTTCGAGTCCGCTGAGTGAATGCTGGTCACGCTGCGTGGACGCTTGTAGACGCGGGCTGGCGTAGGCCTACACGTATATCTTACACGAGTCTTCACTGCTTGTGGACGCTACGGCTGAGCGACGTCAAAAACGTTTGAGGAGCGCTGCTGAACGAAGGGATATGAACGAGCTCTTACTTACTTCCTATTGTGTAAAGTCTCGCTTTCTGTCATAAATGTGCCATCCTGAACTGATCTGTCATAATAACTCTTTTCCATCGGGGTTATATTTCTTTCCAATTTCAGGTGAACGTTCCATTTGGCGGCTACAAGAACTCAGGGCACGGCCGAGAAAATTGCCTTGATACCTTGAAAGCCTATACGCAAACGAAGGCAATCTACGTGAATATTCAGGATACTACAGAACACTGTTTTTAGATTTGGCATTGTCATAAAAATTTATGTTATTCAGGAATTTCTTGATATTAAAGGATAAAGGATAAAGTCTTCGCCGTTGATCAATCCCTTTGTGGGATGCGGCACGCATTCTACTTCCATTCAGAATCGTAGTGGCTTATTGAATGCGATGTGGCCTATACAATGACTTGCGGTGGCCAGCCGATGTACAAGTCAGTGTTTTATCCTCCCAGACGAATCTGGTACCAATTCACCGTCCCCGGAGGCGGTAGAAGCTATGCCTAGGTTGCACTGTGGCCGGAAGAATCGACCCGGGCGATTACGCAACAGGAGACCGCCGGGCGAATGGTGAGCGCCCCAGCTTGTCACTACACCATTCTCCGCCTCGAGCTTTAATTACCCAAGTTTGAGAAAACCATAACATGGCCGCTTTGCCCAATCGACGTCGTGGTCGGAAAAACCTACTTGAACTTAAAATCTATAAATGGAGGTATGTGCGTTCGGTTCCGCGTTTGAGGTGACTTCTGGAAGGTCTTCCCAATTCCAGCCTGTCGATCTGTTAGATGCAAAGGCTACACCTCTACCCTTTCTTCCTTCGACACGTTCTGAAATCGGAACTCATATTGGAACTTTACCTTTGGGCTTGACCGATGTCCAGGATCAACAGCATTGCCGAAGTGCTTGCATACCCGTCTCCTCGCTCCTATCGCTCCATACTTTACACTTCCAGACGCTGCTGTTCGCTGGTAGACGCTAGCAGACGCTAGATTCACATCTATACTTCCCTAGTCGCTCGCTGCCGGAGGCTTGGAACGCTGGTGAACGCACCTCGAAAGAGAGAGGAAGGGAGAGAGATGAAGGGATATAGAGAGAGACTAGAGAAGAATGGGCTGGAAGCATACAGTTCCACAAGCAGCGGAAACGATTGCCTATATATGACCGGAAAAGCTAGGCAGAAAAAATTCCACCAGATTTGAGTCGTTTTTACTAGACACTTTTGGGTGATACATTACTCGCGGCCGCGGAAGTCGTTTTCGAACACGCTGGTATATCCGACCTACCAGATAATACCGAAAATGGTTCTGAATAACATCTAGCTCAACTACCGCATATTATTCAGCTTTTACTTGAAGGCAGCGCCCGCGTTCAATGGAGATTCCCCTCTTTCCGCAGAGGCAGCGATTGCAGCACTTCGCTGCGCAAAAACAAGTGAGGCGTCTCACGATACCGTCCTTGCTCTCACGTTCCCAATCCCTTATCTTTGGCACCGCCCACCGCTCATTTCTAATGGTGGCTGATGGTGCGGTTGTTCTGCTGCTAATTCTCTCCACTTCGAATGGTGAGAGTGAGGTGATAAGGGAAAACAGCTGATACCAACAAGTGAGAACTCGTGCAACCAGTGGTTCTTTTCGACTCACGCACGTACAACCTCAGTTCGGCATAGGGTTCTATATGAGCCATTTCTAGCGAGTTATTCTGCTTTTTTCACTGCTGAATCATTTGCTACCTTGCTATTACTATCTGAGCCGCAAAACTCATTATATTCGAAAGCGGGCTCAGCCTTTGAATGGAAACTTAGGGCGAGAAGAAGTTCTTCAAATGATCGCGAGAAGTTGCTTTTACAATCTTACTCCAGCAACCTTTGCGCACTTGACCCTTCTACAGTATTACTGTTTTCGATCACGACTTGGTCGTGACGGTACCTTTTTTCCTTATCAATGGCTTACAGCTGACCCACAAGTGCCCCTGCAACAATGACAAAACAGTCTGACTCCATCATCAACTCCAATGCACTGAAAGTGGAGCACAGTTTG